ACACAAAAATTTATTGTGCAGAAATATTGTTTACAATAGCAATTTTTACAAATGCGAGAATAAACGGTCCTCAGGCGTTTGGAGCTCTTGATTTTTTATTTTTAATCTCAAAGCCTTTTATATCACATTTTTTGTTTTTCAAGATGAATCTGACTCTTGAAGATAAATTTAAGAAATTAACATTCCAAGATTTTTTTATTTGTATTTATTTCAATATTTCAGCATTTATATGCAATGCAATAATGTATTTACATACGAAGGAAACATTTAGTTGTATTAATACGGAATTTGGTTCTTATAAACAAACCATCGTTTCTTTTTATTGAAAGAAGCAAAATTTCTTAGAACCAAATCACTTAGAATCATTGGTTCTTAGAACCAATTTGAATCATAAAAATCTTACTGAAATTTCGTTTCTGTTTCAATTAAAACGCGTTCATTGCAACCAAACTTTTTTCTTCGTGCAATAATTTATTTATATCGAGAATACTATCAAGAAGATATTGAATACCGATATAATATAGTTTCGTATTTTACATTGGTTTTCTATATTTTGTTGTATAATATTGCGGATGCTTACACAGAGTGAAAGCACAAAGTGTCAATAAATCAGCGGAGTACTCTAAATTATATAAAAAATGTTAAAAAGTTGTATTTACAAAATATTTTTAGATAATTTTAAATAAATTAGATAATTTTAGATTTATTTTAGATAATATAGCATACTGCACCGTTCGTTGGCATTTCTGTTCTCATTCTATATAAACATTTGCAATTTTATAAAACCAAATAGAAAAGCAATATAAAATACGAAAGCTGCATTATGTCGGTATTCAGTATTTTCTTGATATGTATGATGATTGTATAAAATATTGTTTTTTATAAATTCGACTAGAAACGAAACGCAGTGTTGAGGCAGACTCGATATAGGACCACACAAAAGATTAATATATAATTTTCTATATACACATACACACACACACGCACGCACGCACGCTCGCACACACGCGCGCGCATATACACACACACATACATTCACACACACGTAGCTGCTTTCCTAAATATCCTAAATGCGCAAATAGGTACTTCAGAATTACTGTCACATACGCGCACGTCAGATTTCCGAAATAATATATATTGTATTCTTATGTCACAAACATTTATTGTACGTCGGCACAAGACAGATTTTCCGTCGCGTTAAGCATTTTGGTGTCGGGCGGACGTGTTTTCGTTGTTGGAGCATCCACTTCAGCTCGGGCGGTGTGCGCGAAAGACAAACGCCGGGAAGTTATAGCACGACTACCGGGGACGATGGAGGAAATATACGCAGGAACAAAAGAAGAGGGTAGCGAGGAGCTCTTTGAGCCACCATGTGAGCACTGGCGGACAACAGCGGACAACATGTGATGCCGATATAAATTACTCCGCAGTTTAATGGCACATTCCAGGCTGGATCCACGAGTAGCAATAATGTCAGCGAGTGTTATTCCGTGTCGGCGTCGCGCAAGACCGGTCCGTTGAAATTAGTTATCACTGTGTAAGCATTGAATACATAACGTGACTTGCATACATTATGTCGCGTAATGCACGCCCGCGGGACTTTCCGCGCGCACACGCCGGGTTTCCTCCGGTCAACTGCTCTCAGCAATATGAGATTACTAACGCACATACCAGCACTCGTGATGGATGATTCGCACCATCTGTGATATCTTCATGCGCTTATTAAACAATTTAAATGTGTCTCTGACCAACATTAACGACGTTCATAGAAGTATTTTGGGATATTTCTTTCACAAATCTCAAGAAAAACAAACCACCTCGGGAGACAAGATTTGACTCTCATGACATAACATAACACATTTTATACATAACATGTTTTAAGCACCTTAATCTGATGGATCTTAATCTCATAGGATCGTTCTCATTCTCGCTTATTTACATTCCGTAAAAATGCTGATAGAAATCTATAAAAAAATAATAAATATATACTTTCAAGTCTGTAGAATAGAATTATATGTAGAAATAATCGCGAATATATCTATTCAATTATTTCATTTTATTGCAAATACAAAGAGAAACACGATAAAAATCTGAGTTTACATAAAAATTTGTAACTTTTCAAGATAAATTTGATTTTCGAAGATAAATTTAAGAAATTGAAAGCTTCAGAATTTTTTGTTAATACTTGCATCCTTAAAAAATATTATATATTTAAATTTTTTAAAAAGCATAATTTTTTGATATACAAAGATACATCATTTTTTTTAAGAAGTGAATAAAATCATTGATTGTTCAAAGCTTCTGCTATATTAACTTGTTATACAATGCGTATTTCATTAAAATTGTTACAAAGATTAATTGTATCAGGATTTTTTTGCTCGTGATTAAAGTTTGACAATAAAAATCTTATCGCATATAACATAGTCAAAAATAAATAAGTTACTTACACAAAACTTTTAATAAGTTACTTACACAAAACTTTTGTTATATACTATATTTAATATAAAAACGGAAATATATGAGGAAAGGTCATCTTTATTTTAGATCTCTATTTTGCTAATTTGCTTTTCATTAATTCGGTGAAGTTAACACCCCAGAGACTTCACCTTCCTTTATGTTATACGACAGGAAATTAAAATGGCTCCATTGTGTTTAAACCTCATATTCCCATGAATGATAATTTTTTCTTGCACGTGAAGCGGGAGTTCTCATTCCGCTAGTTTGCGGGTAATGTAAAATTAAACGGGGTCAAAAACGTGCTCAGTGTGACAAACTGGGTCTAATTTTACGTATAAAAACCATTTCTTAAAACATGTTTCAAGAGAAAAGCTTCACTTGATTAAAAAAGGATCATTAAGAAAAAATATTGCTTCCCTCTTTGTTTCCAGGACACTGTTCTCCGGAGCGACGTCGGGGAATGCGCTTAGTAGCGCGGGCGTGCACGTTACTTAACTGTACTGTGGTACTTAAATTAAATACGCACGATATAAAGTAACATGTCAGCTAGTGTCCCGACACGCTCGATACTCGCGCTGCGACCATTTAAGTAAACGAGAGGCAAACAGGCGAAATCCGCGGCGGCGTCGCCATTCTACGAGACAAAGGGTGGCACGCGAGAAGCACGAGGAGACGAGGACGAAGACGGATCGCGTCGATCCTCCTCGCTTTGTGCATTCTGCGCGTCGCGATGTTTCGCAAGTTTCTCTCCTATGTCTACGCTCGAACCCTTCTGCGTAATGTGTAACGCTCTCTTGAAATTTCGCGAAGGCATTTAACACGTTGCTTCCGTAGCCGATAAACATTGCAGACAGCGACAAGAGGGATGCTCGGCGTGTCGCATCGAGCTACATCGGCGAATGTATGTGAATCTCGAGACGACATTGTATCGAAGGGAGTCGGAGAGAAGCTTTAGCCGGAACGAAACGATAATTAGCACGCTACCCTTGCACTCTGCGTCGCCCGCTTTCTCTCTGTCGTCCGATTCAAATAAAGCTCCCTGTGACGAGTGCAATCGCGCCACGAATTATGTAGCATCTGTAATTACTCAGTGGAATTGTACTAGTGTAACACATCAAAATCATCGTGCACACGTGCGTTACGAACAACGTAATCTCGATTTGCCGTAATCTGATATCTGTGTCAGAATGAAATTCCACGCTCGCTACGAAAAAGTCTAAGAAGAAACATGAAGAAAATTTCACGTTTCTATACAGAAAAAACAATATTCTTGTTTGAAAAATATCTTTATTGTAGACATTTTAAAAATAAGATTAATGTTAAAATTAATATATAACATATAAATAAGATTAATGTTAAATAAGATTTATTATAAAGATTTATTATAAATAAGATTAATGTTAAAAAAATTAGATTATATGGCATTGAATGAAAATAAATTCAATCGAGACGAATATAATAAAATTAATGATTAATATAATAATTATTTTCTCATATGTAAGCAAAAATATCAATATTATTAGTTGTATATAAAAAAATGATTGTGTTAATTTGGCTATGTTCGTCTGAATTGTAGACTAATAATATTAATAAACATAGAATATTAATATTGTAATATTCCATGAGAAAATGATTGCGTTAATTTGACTATATTTATCTTGGTTTATCTTTGTTTAACGTCATATAATCTCATTTTAACATTAATCTTATTTTTAACATATCAACAATAAAGATGTTCTCGGTACAAGAATATTCTTTATATAATGAGCGCTTATTCATTCGAGGAATACTTGAGAATAAATATATATACCTGAGATAATATTGAACACATTATTATCTATAAATGCTGTCTTTCTATATACAGTCATATACACAATACAATCATATACACAAGACAAAAAAGGTAGATCGACGAAATCCGCGGTCATATCGTATCTATCGAACAAATTACGCGTGTAACAATAAATTGCGTTAATATAGTTACTGACCAAATCGCCATCATTGAATCAGTTGATATATAACTCATTACAGCAACTATATAACTCATTCAATCGACTTTTACTTGAACGAATTTCGTTCGTTCGAGCAAAGTTTCATTAACTCAACCACTTTTTTCTCACTGTAGAGAAACTTCGAACATTAGGGAATATCACTTGGCTTCAAGGAAGATAAATCGAAAACTATTTGAGAAAACTGAAATGTTTTCGTTGAGTTGTAACACTAAATGTATTTTATAACATGTCCTTTAAGTACATGTTATATGTACGCGTTTATCTATATAAATTTTAACGTAATATCACGTGATATCATTTAATGTTCTTGAAGGTAAATGCTGAAAGGGGAGTGTAATAAGAAGTAAATCGGGCAAATATGATTTCTGTTAATTTAGAATCGAAGAGAGAGATTCGAAATTTGTTTCCAATGTTCGCATTTCATGCGCTCTCGATTTTACGTCAATATGACTCTTTAGAGTAGATACTAGTTGTGTAATAGACGGCGGACGACAGGAATATGGAAGGTACGTTCAATTTCCCTCTTTGCAGAAAAAGAAGTCACGACTGATCGATTCGCAGCACATCGTCATAATCCTCGTGGTTTTCTCCCTAATTATGTTTGGTATGAGCTTCGCCTTCGTCTTCAACTGCGTTCGGAAGCTCGTCCGCGATCATCGCATTATCCAGGTGAGTGAATTTTATTTTCCTAACGAGAAACTCGCTCCGCCGTGGCTCTCGGTTTCAGTAAACGAAAAAGATCGGGAAACGAGGTCTCCGCGGAGATACGGCGGAAGGTTTCGTGTTATATTTCGTCAGGGGATATTCCACGAGGTGGAGGGTTCCGCCTATCTTGGCGTACCCCATCCGTAAATACCTCACCCTTATTTGTATAGAATTGTTCGTTACGAAGGGACTGAGGGGTGGATTGTTTTATTAAAAATCGACCGCGCACTTTCGCGACAAGCAGCGAAGTTTATAGATCCTCGCTGACGTGACGTTGCTTCGATGATCCGGCGTCTTTATTGGCTGCCGTTAAAGTTCGAGAAATGTTGGAGACGTATTTATCCCGACGAATCCGCGTGAGTGAGCATGAAAACGCCCCGTCAGTTTTTCCAAAGGTGCGTTTTCACCCGGAACGTTCTCTCTCCATCGTTCTCCCAGAACTTTTCTCGATAACGGAAACGAGGAGGAAGGGAGAGAGAGAGAGAGAGAGAGAGAGAGAGAAACGCGGTTTATTTCACAACAAGACACTAAGTATGATGTTATCATTTATTGGATTATGCAGTGAAGTTCCAGATGTGTTTAACGATAATCACATTTTCTCAATTAACATTTACACCAATATGAACGTCTGAACATCAATTTTATTTATATATTATCACAATACGCGCAACACATCCATTCGGGATATATCACATTTGTATCGTACGAAATATAAATTATTTTATTATCAAGTTTCTGTACGTATGTACGTACAGGTCGGCTTAATTATTACATTATTACGCACAATTTCTAGCTAAATTAGTTATATTTAATTACACGTCCTACTTTATTTTGCGGGTTAATTTGATTTCGACAACAATCACATATGCCTATCAAATGGTGCGTTGCAAAATGTTTCGCGGCATTACTAATAGTGAAATTGTTAATTGTCCTGTTGAAATAAACGTGTTTCCGAATACGCGCGTGAAGTGAGAGATTACGATTTCATGCAACCAAATGCATTTAATTAAATGCATGCTATTTTCTGCGTCTACATGTTTGCCATCCAATCATACGTTTTTTCTTGAGAAAAATCCATCTTATTCATAACTGGGATAATTATCTGCGAATACGGCAAGAAATTCTGTGTTTTGCAAGAGATTGTTCGTGAAATGGAACGAAAATAGCTATACGAATGTCTGTTATTTGAAACCAACAAGGTTATAGTTTGCGTGCTCTCTTTATCGACTGTACTGCGTAAACAATTATTTCGTATTTATGCGCAGACATGATTACGCGAAATAAGATTACGTGAAATCTTCTCCCTTTATACAATACACATTCGAAAGTACGCGGCCTAATACAGAGATGGCCAAATTCGACCAAAGAGAGTGTCAAATAGTGTCAAATAGTCACAGATATTCTCTGGTTGGAGACTGAAGACACGGTGATGCCACCAAACAAAACTCGAAATGTGCACTTTAACTCAATATCAAATGAAGACTAATTAACAAATCGCTCTATACTATTATATTTACCTTAAAGTAGTTCGTCCGCGATAATAATATATCAGAAATTTAATGATTAATATATCATATAGTTTTGACTGAGACTGTCCGCGCTATATAACAACGTCACATCTGTCAGATTGTTAGATTGAACAGGATATGAACTGCACATTTGACTACCTTTGTATACAATGTTGCCAGATCCATAAATTAGCTGTTATATAATTGTTATCAGAAATTATATACTTTACATATCAATTCCTTCAAAAGTAGAGTGTCTAAGGGTTTGTCGTTTTGTAATAATATTTTTACAAGTCTCTTTTATTATCTTTCTGTTTTTCATTAGAACCGTAAAAGTAGTTTTATGGCTACAATTAGAAACGTGCTATCAGAAACCGTCATTTTCGTCTCTGCGATATAAGTAAAAAGTGCTAATTTTGACTTCCATTATTTTAAATTCAATATGGTCAATCTTTCTTTATTGCATATGGATAGATCGTGTTTACAATAATATACTATCAAAACTTTATAAGATTGCTAAAAAAATGGATTTATTAACGAAATATCTTAATAAAAGAAGGTTTTGAAATATTATAATTAAGATTGAACTAAAAAATGTCATGTTGTCTCTATATTAAACCACGTACTCTTTCTAAACGCCTCTCATACTTACAAATACAATTTCCGCAAGTTGACTACTGCCGATAAATGTAGCTAAACGAAAGCACATCGTTTGCTGTTGTATAGATTGAATCAATTCCGTGCCCATATTACTCACCCTGCGTATCGTTTCCGCGTTTTCTTGCAGGAGCACATAAGACAATCCCGAGAGAACCGCTTGGACGAATTGGGACGGAAGTCGACACCGTGTCCAATCTCGACCTCCCGTACGGATTTGCACGATCGCGGTAGTGAGTCGCCGAGCTTGGAGGTCTTGCCTAGCAAGGAACTCATGCCACCGACCACGATGATACCTCAGGAATACACCAAAGACCTCGTCCTTGAGATGGCGTATAACGCGGGCGACATTACCGATATTCACCAGAGCAATAACGTGAGCAACGCCACGCAGGAGCGCCTACAAGAAACCAGCGAGGAGCCGGAGATGCGCGACAATTGCTGCCAGACCAGAGAGAGCCTCTTCGAGCCACGAATGCCGGACGCAGTAGCGCCGCTGGGCTTCACGACCTTCGGCGTGCGTGCGCCTAGCTCTCAGAACGGGACCAATCATCACCATTACCACCATCACCATCATCATCATCAGCAGCAACAGAGCCCGCAGCGGTCTCACCAGACTGCTCAGCTGTCACAGTCGAGCTCCCAGCAGAGCTCGCAGCAGCAGATCTCTCAATGCTCCGGCTGCAGTCCGGCGTCTCGTGGGCGGGACGGCAGCATGGGCATCTGTCCAAAGCACAATCCTATACCAGCGCCACCCGGCTGGTCGACGCACGAGTCTAGCTATCCACTGCCCATATCGCAGCCCGGCCAGTATCCGGAACAATTAGATTATCCGTCGTACCAGAGGTTCCAGAGCCCAAAACCCAGCAGGGAGCCCAGTGTTTATCGACAATCGCCGAAGCTCACGCGACAGATCACCGTAGGCTCCGGCGAGAGGTACGGTAGTTCCATGTACGGGTCTGGCCACGGCTCCAGCAACACCACCACATCCAGCTCACAGCACTCCGCCAGCATACCCAAAGGCCAGCCGCAGCCTGCGTCGGATCCGCGGTACCGTGCTGAGGCGGTTATCGAGGTGGACCAAAGGCGACCTTTCAGCATAGAAAGCACGAAGAGTGCCCCGGACGTGATCGCGACGCACTGACGTCGGAGTCCTGGGGATTGGGAGCCCTACAAGAGACGCCATCCCCGTCAAAACGCGAACGATCGTCATCAGCCGACTCGCGGCAACAATGGGAACAAAGTGACCGTCGCCACGCAGAGCTCCCTCGACGACGACGCCTCGACGAGCTCCACTGTGGAAGCGAACTCCTCCTCCTGATCCACGTGTCGCGACGCGACCGATCACGGGAGATCGTGCGAAAAGCCGCCAGTAGCCGGTGATCCTTGCGAGCGCGAATCTTTGAGGAACACCAGGTCATTCGAGACCGCGGACCATACTCACGTCCATCCGATCGCAGAGGGAAACATCGAAACGTCCATCTCTGATCCAACTAGGTTGGAAAGATCAATAACAAGTGACGCAGCCTGCTTCAACTCGGCCAACGCAGACACCCGGCCGGATGGTCCTCTCGCTGCGCAATCAACTAGTTGGATGACAGCTGGCGAGTCTCTAGTCTCAAGACCGTGGCGAGCTGAGGCGGCCTTAAAGCTGCACGACTTGCCGATTTTGCGGCCGCCGGAGGGCTTCCGGGTACCCGTGTTCAGGTGCAGAACACCATCCTTATCCTGGCAGCACTGCGGCTGTCCTTCACACACGCACCTACCGCCATGGCGATCGTCGACCACTTGGAGTGCCTTCGAGCGATGCGGCATGGACCCTGTGTATCGGACATGGCCTAATCGAGCTGCGAGGAGGTTCGGCCGACCGTCGAGGAGGACAGTCGGTACTCAGAGCTCATTGGACGGCACTAGATCGTCCCTCGGCTTCCTCCGATGCGTCGTCAGGTCGATCGACATGACGGAGAGATCGTTGGACCAGGAGATCGGGGCCTCTATACCTTTTTAGTGTTTGCTTTATCGTATAGTTCACTCTATGGACGACCAGGTTCGCGATGACATCCCCGTGCGGTGGCGCGTACGTGCACGCCTCGGGTTGACATCGTCTTTTTCTCGGGGAAGAAAGCGAACTTTCCTCTCGAGCACGGCGTATCTCGACGTGTCGTCGCCTGAGCGACGCGGGTATACATCAATCATGTATATAGCCATGTTTGCGATACGTTACTAGTGTGTGATCTTGGTAGACGGTAATGACTGTGTAGTCGCGGTTGAAACGCGCGCTGCTTTGTTTATCCTTATGAAGGAAACAAAAATAAGGGAGCGCGACGCGCACTCATCGGGGGCCGGTTCAGGTAAGTGCGCGTGACATCCTACTGGCAATATCACGCGAACGGACTTGCGACGGCGGAACAATCGGAAATCGTTCGCTCGCGACAGCCATGTATGTATTTTGCCACGTGAGCATCGTGGACGACAATCGCTGCCTTTCACGTTATCTGCGCGACGAACAAGTCGAGTAAAACGAGAACACGGGGGAAAAAACGCGAAAGAAAAACGAGAAAGAATCGTTGCTTAGACTTCGGGCTAGTACTTAAGCGCGATTAAATCGAGTCGCTTGAAACAGTCGCGGCGTGCAGAAGTGGAGAAGAGAAAGAGAGAGAGAAAGGGAAAGAGAAACAGAGAGAAAAGGAGAAAGAAAGAAAGAAAGAGAGACGCGCTGTCAATTCCAGGAGAAAATGAAAGGATACTTCTGCTCTTGAACTCACACTCCTGAATATGAAATGTACACTTCGTATATATTCGTCTATGTTAATATTTTATTTTAACACGTTGAATGCCCTGGTGACGTTATAAATGCTAACGCGTCTCTCATTAATCTACGTATAAGTTGCAACTAATTGCACCTAATAAATTATGAACATACGGCCATCAGAGAGCGAATGAAATCAGGTAAATGATAAGAGCGCGAGGAAAATTTTATTGGCTGTGTCTCTGCTTCTTTAAACATTGATTAAACTTTCGGACGATCATTGGGAATCGCGACAGTTAACGTGTTAATATTTTCCTTCGCGATTTCTCTTTCAGCTATATGGGTGCTTTTGTTTATGCAGCGGTTAGCGCATCCACTGCGTCTTTCATCTGCTAGTCACGTAAAGTAATTTACCGAACAGACTCTTGCGTAAACGACTGCTCGTATTGTATTGAATCGTATCTTCGAATGGGAATACTGGGAGAACCACCTCATCCAAATAAAAACATCTGTAAGGTATTCATTGTTTTTTCAATTATATTTTTAAGTATATTTTATTTAAAAAATTTGATATTCAAAAATTAAAATAAATATAGTACATATTCATGACATGAATAGTATTATTCCTTTAGACTTAACATATAGACTTAATAAACAGTGATAGCTTATTAGATTCTGATTTATGGTCTGATAGTTCTGATAAAGAGCTGCTAATATTAAATGATATGGTATTGTTTATTTCACTTATTTCTATTTAGTTTTCATTGATATTTTAAAAGTTTAAATAAATAATATATGTTATAAAGTTATATTATATACGTTATAAAAGTTTAAATGAAAAATAAATGTTAAAAAGTTTTAAGTTTGATTTAAAAGTTTTAAAGTAAACGTCACGTTGTTATAATATTATATATATTATACTAGTGTATGTATGTACGTATATATAAATTCATATCAATTTTGTAGACAAAGTCATTTTATAGTCGGGAACGACTGCAGCGGAACTTGGACATGAAACGAATTTATAAAAACAAATTACAAAAAATTACTAACAGAAAAAAATTGCTAACAAAAAGTTCAGAATTTTTAAATGTGCTACAGATTATTTTCAATTTACACTCTTGAGAGGTGTGCATTTTTAGGTTAATTTAATCGCAAACAAAAATTAACAACAGCTTTTTCATTTCATAACAACTTGTATTATTTTCGCTTTTGTAGAATCGATTAAAATAAATTTTTTTTTACCTTTATGGTTACTTTCAACTTTTAACTTTTAATAAACATTTAATAAACTTTTAACAAACTCATTTTCAATATTTGTTAATACAAGGCGAAAAGCGTACGCATTTAATACCTAAAATGGCAGATTATATTTGTTTGTTCACACAGTACTGTGAGCATTCAAAACAAGATTTTTTAATTGGCTGCATAAATAGGATGTATCCCTGCATAAACGAACAACAAACTGCGCTGTAGTCGCTTTTGCTGATGGAGTAAACGAACGATCATCTGCGACAACCCTGTATAAACGAATGCACCCTATATGTTTAATATGCATATGAACATCACGATGCGCAGTAATATTACGCCAGTGGGGTTAATGCCGTAACGCATTAGTCATAAAAGGAGTACCTCAAAATTTGGAAATTGAAGCAATACGTAGACATTCTTCGCTTCTTACCACAGTTTCAGTTTGACCTTTTAAGGCCAGGGATCGATCCCGTTCAAATAAAAAATTTTTTTCTTATAAAATAGTCTTAAAAGATCCTCTCGATGAAATATTTTATGGTCCTAGTAAAATTCATTCTATGACTGATTTTCTGGACGTACATAATTATGCAGATTCAGGTTAGCACGTGTGCCCCAACTAAAGAATTTAAAAAATCTTATAATCACACATGATAATGAATACAAGAGTCAACCCTGTACTCGGCATCGATAAAAAATTAAGAAAAAAAGATTTGCTTACTTTCTTTCGTGAAAAACTTTACATAATTTCGAGCATCAACGATTCTGCTCTGCACACAACCGCTATGTTAATTTCTTCAGCAAGAAAATTATTGTTTCACAGGTTAAAACGAAAAATATAGCTCAACCTAAGAATAATAGAATATATTGATAGTATTATATCGACGATCATCATTTTATAATATAAAAATTTTACTAATTATTTTACTAAATCTAATTATTTTACTAAATCTAATTATTTTACTAAATCTAATTATTTTACTTAAACTAAGATATAAAAAATTTGGACAAGACTCAAAATGAATGTACATAATTATGTATACTAGGCTTTAAAGGGTTCCTGGATCGCGGATTATCGTTTTTTTATTTTATTTTTCTTACAGCAATGCCATGTGATTCCTGCTGGCGCAATGTCACCGCGTTCGCGCGCGTTCTCCTCTTTTGAAACGACGAAATAATTCTCTCAAACTCGCATCGGGACAGCATATTGCGAGACAATGCACGCCTTATCGATACCGGAAAGCCGACGAATTTTTGCGAAATTTCGCGGGCCTAATGGGACGTAACATATCGGGAACGAAACTCCATTCGTTCAACAGCACCGCCGGGAGCAGAGAGGGAATCGGGAGCTATTAATCACCCGTCAACCGAAGGGGGAAACAAACTTTCACGGTGGCTCGCGGTCTTTCCTACTTAGCCGCAGGGAAAAACGCGAGTAAAGTGGCCCGCGAGATTTCCTTGCGCACGAGATGTCAGACTCGACTAATTATTTCGATTAGTTTGCCACTGGCTTCGTCATCTCCCTTCCCCAGTAAACTGTCGGTGTCAGTGCGAGCTCGTGAAGAGGGACGCTCGATGAAGTCCAAGTCCGCTGGATTCATAGAGCGCTGTCTTTCTTCGATCAGCGCATATTCCTGTCACGTAGCAGGACTATATGTTCCGCGAGACGATAGTTCTTCGTCGGCAAGGCACGGTGCAGCGTGCTGGAGAAGGCGTTTAATAATTCTCTCTAAGACCGATCGGTGTGATAGAAGAAGCCCGAGCCAACGTCAAAGTTACTGCGCGATGTTCTGTGAATCTGTCAATTTCACGTACGGTCGTGAGCGAAAAGGTGTCCGTAAACTTGTGGGCTGAGTTTGTGAACTCTCTTTGTCCAGTGGGACCATTCTCCCGATGAGAAACGAATCCTCTCATTGGACAGAACGAATAGTTCATCCCAAACTCACGCCAAAAATCAAGAGCAACACTTCTACCCATAATCGTGTTGCCATCCGATCGCGACTCGAGCTTAATCGCTACTAAATGAAAGTGCGAGTACTAGCCTTTTATAATATATCGTGTTATTCGGCGATACCTCGCGGAACGCGACGCGGCATCGATCGACAGACTCCTCCGAGAAGAAGAGAAAAGAGAAGGTGGAGGTGGTCGCGAGAAGGTGCGTAAATCCCTACGATGTTAGGCAAACTATTTTTCCACGTGATGATTTCTGCGGAAATGTGCAAGTCTGCGCGCGTTCGATCCGACACATGAGAGTTCAAGGAATGCATTTATAGTTCGTAACGCACACACAACACACGCACGCCCAATCGTGCCCAATCCACATTTCCGATCGACTGGCGCGCAGCTGTTCACGGTCCTCTCTCCCGTCACATTTACTTCTCCATTAGAGTATAAATATTTCATCGGGAGTCGAATTATTACACTTACAAGCGCACGGCGTTTACTTTACTAGAGCTAGAGCTGGGTGTCTCTTGTGATAAACTCGCTGAAACTCATACGTGGACGCACTTTGCGTGCGGGATAAATGATGCTTGCGTTAATCGCCAAGAAACGTGAGATTTAACGTAAGGACGTAACGTCCTCAAATGTACGAGAACGCATACTCATTTATACAACATCTTGAACACATTTGCTCCAACGAAGTTAGAAACGCATCGAGTGGTCACGTTTATGAGCCATTGCCTGACTAGAAGTTTATCCAACAGTTTTGTAGCTTAATTCTGTAACTTGTTAACTATCGTTAACGACAATATCATTAGAACTGTGTCGTTGCGCATCTTTTCTAGCATATAATCTATCTGCGCAATGTTAACGAACAACAGTTAACGAGTTACAGTCCAATTATTGAACGCGCATCATCGAACTCTTAAGAATCGACTCTAGTCGGAATTATTCCGTTATTTCTAAGATTTCTGTTGACTTTTCTGGGGAAAACGCAATTATTCCGATTGGAGTCGGTTCCAATCGGAATCCAAAGGAATCAGACCCAAAGAGTTCTATAATACGTGCCTTAATCAGGTTGAACCTAATCAATTATTTGGTTTGTATAAAATGATGTTATCGAGTCTTGGTAAGTGATAAGTGGTCGTAAGTGATAACGCAGTGTGGCAGTCAGGACTTTATTAATAACAAAGATTGTTAATAATAAGGATTTCGTTGATAATTAGAACATTTATAACATTAGCTTATACAAAACAAATAATTGGAACTAACTTAATTATAATCATAAGATAAATTTCTAACCAGATACTTACGGTCTCTCAATAATCGAATAAGACAGGAACTGAAGTAACAGTACACGAAAATGAATTCGGTCAAAATAACGTGACAAGGTGTTAGTAGGAGAGTATTCAAGGTTCAACCGTCGTAATAGTAGTGCTCGAAAACTTGGAAAATCTTGTTCCTTGAGTATACACGAGACATCTGACGTCACAAGTAGCTAGCAATCGCGACCATTTGATGCGCTTCTAACTTCATCGGAAGAAACATGTTCAAGATGTTCATTGTGAAAATGAATGTACAATCAGCACTTGGGATTTAAGGGGATGCCGTACTGGAAAACTCGTCAGAATATTGAAATTTTTTTGCACAGTTTACATGACTGCACAAAATTACAGAATTTTATATACTAAACGTACGTGCAACAATGAATTGGAGGATTACTCGATATGTGATGGAAACGAAAAAAAATTTTAAACTGCTATCTCGAGCTGCCAGAGTTCACGTAAATATTTACTTCACACAAAAGTTCTGCAGCTCGTATCGCACGTGTGTGTTTGCTTATTTAACGTGTGTGTTTGCTCCGTTAAACATTTCAAAAAAACATTTTTGTTTCTTTATAGCTGAATTTAGAAAAGTTTGAAAATATACGAAAAGTTTACAGAAAGATTTCTATGTATATATGGTTATGTCTCTCCTGTTAACATGATAAAACAAAGCAGCACACATTTACATAAAATTTATACGTGCGAGAAATACAGAAAGAATAGCCTAATCATATTAACGTCTCTATATGATCGACATATTTGTCTACTTGGGCATCCTCTTAATTAGCCGAAATTACGCCGCTTTTGATCGTATTTTCTGCACGGATGCCGCGGGCAAGCGTTTGAAATTGGACTATGGTATGATAACGCAATATGATGACCGTGCGCGAGCATGATTGCGCAACGACGCACGACGGCTGTGCCGTTTCCGCCACATCGTCCTTAGTGAGTCCTTTATTTGCAGACCGTCAGATCGAGTTAGTTAGTTAGGTTATCCAGCTGCACTGCTGTTATTCTTCCACGTAGCTAATTCCTCTCGAAACAGTTAACAAACAGCGTTATGCGCCGCTCCTTTGTCTAATAATTCGTAATTGCTGCGTTGAGCGGGATAGTGGCTCGAAATCGATAGCCATGAGTCATTCTTCACATACCCAGAATAACGATTGACTGTTTTCAAACGTGACACTTTAGATCTCCTCGAAGTGAAATATCTAAACGTAACATTCAATGCTTCCCCGTGTTTCCTTCGCTTCTTGGACCTCGAAAAATCCAACTTACGGTTACTACAGTTCCATATAATGTATCGATTACAATGTTTCCTACTTTACGCTGCCTTTATCGCTCATCCGTCGGATGCGCCTATTATTAGGTCTACTTATTTATAGAATGACCTCCTTATTTAACTTTTAACGCTCTAGTTGTAGCTTTAACAGGGAGTTTAAAATAATCAGATTGATCTTTTTTCTAGACCCCACACAAATGAGAATACTCTTTCACTTTGAGTCTGAACTTTTCAGAAATAATATTCTTTATCGATGAAAGTTCGTATTTATTGTTTTAGAGCGAAGAGTATATAAGGAGATAGGCGAGTAAGAGCCAGACGCTGTCGGTAGAGAGTTTCATTCTTCACGAAGAACATTGTTTTCACTATAAAAGTTTTGTTGCATTAAAAAGCTGGCAAACGCTCCGCCAACGGCGTCTGACTTTTACTCGCCATTTTCCTTACGTTTGATTGTAAATCTTGACAGCCTTCTTAATTGTATGAACTAAGTATATGTTGTCATTGATATTAGTGTCATTGGTGTTGTTTAGCAATTATCGCGAAAAGTGTAGGAACGATTGTACATATTTCACCGGACTATGTATGCCACGACGGGATCGAGCGAATCAAATCTCTTTCGGATGACCGGAATAATCGAGTCTCACACCGCTAGAAGAATACATGGGTGGTGGCCTGTACATATGTATAGTCGTACATATCCGACGCAGCAGTATTACCGACAATATCTATACTTTGTTAAACGAGCGTGATTCGTCTTCACGTGTCTCTTCGTGTCATTTCTGCTGTTAATGACCCGCAAAGACGCGTAGCAGAATATATACACGCACATACACACACGCACATATACATAAACAAAAGCGCGCGCATTACATACCCCGATGAGACCGAAAAACACGATCGTGCGTGCGCAGACCGCTATACTCACGACCAGATCGCTAATTAATTAAATTAGTCAATTAAATACCGATGAAGAGCGTGAAAAATCGCACCCACGTGTTAACTACAATCGAGAGAGAGGGAGGAAGAGAGAGAGAAAGAGAGAGGGAAGAACAAAGAGGAAGAGGGAGAGATAAGGGAGGCAAGAGCGTTTTCGTTTACGAACGTAATTTTGGAGAGATCAAGATCCAGTACTCGAAATCTCCGCTTGTGTACAGACCACGTGTTTAACGTATAGAATGGAATGTACAGAGTGTACACATTTGTATATAAAGTATCTACAATACGACTATTAAGAGAATATACACACGAGACGGATTGCAAATATAGTACTTTTAAAGTAAGCCCTCCCAGGTGTGTGTAGATTTTTCTTACCCAACCCAAAAGAAATTTCCCAAAATGAAACACACTTTCTGCGAAGATTTTAAGGTAAGTCGTTTTATTTCAGCCATTTATTTTCTTACTCTCTCGCCAAGAGAAAGCTATTATTTACGCAATGACAATAATTAACGCAAATTAAGCAGCGACATGACTGTGCTTCTCGCAGCTAGTGAGTTTGCCCGTTTTGTCGGCTACTTGCTCGCTTCGAGCCTTAGAGCTTATAAAGTGCTAGTCCGACGCGCGTTCGTTTCATTCTATCTCATAATTAACCTTAAACGGTTCGAAAGTCAACCGTAGAATTTACCCAGTCCCGTAATTAAGAGCTACGATTTCCTTCTGCAGCCGTGAAAGTTCGCCGGCGTTGGCCGCAGTTTCACGTCGCCATCTTTCCCACTTTTCTCTATTTTACATGTTTTTATCTCGCCGCATAAACGGCAATTCCACGCATAAAGCCACGTAATTACGTGTATAAAGATGGAAAACCATATTATCTGATAATTTTCAAAGAAAATGTGCACAGATTATGGTACCGCATTTCCCGTTTGTGTTTACGCGCAAGGGAGAATTTGATGTGATACTTCATCATTTATTACGCGCACGTAAATTCATGCTCCTCTTAATATCTCGCAAGACGAAATTAAAGAAACAAAGAGAGTTTGCACGTCCGAATATTTTTGCATATATAATTCTATATATATTATTAATTTATATATTACTTTAAGAGCGGGCTCGCGCGCGCGGACGTATCTCCCTTCATAATTTAATACAATATTTAATTTCTCTGCTTTTATGAAGGTAATGAAAAATACGACTGAAATTTTTCCCCAGCTTTTTAGCATAAATTTTGAAATGTATTAACTTGAATTCAGACTCGAATGTGTGAGTCTTATATAAAAATCTGAAATTAACTAAACCGAAGTAAAGAAACTTTAGGATAATAGTAATTGACATTTGCGTTGTGTATAAAATATTTTGCTACTTTTTGAAACTCTTTAATATATTGATGCAACCATATTGTTGGACAAATGAAATTTCTTTGCGGAGGAAGTAAACGGATTAGTGTTCAAATGCTCTTCGTGGCAAGGTGCACAGAGTAATTCAAGAGAATGTTACCAAGATTTTTTCGAGCGACTTTACGGCGAGACGAGACGGCGGACGAGTAGACGCACGAATGAAGACAAATGAGACATCTCTTCGAAAAAGTCGGTCCACCGCCTTCCTCTCTCGCACATGCTGTACTGGGTGTCTCATAACTACCGTCACTTGTTTTTATTTGTGGATTCCTTCGACAGTCACACTTGTATATAAATTATAAAAGTCAAAGAAGTATATATATATAATATTGTTTTTCTGAAACACGAAGTGACGCTCGGGCAAGATCATTGCTTCTGCATAATTTGCATAATTTACTTGTGTTCACTGTGTAGTTCACATCAATTGCGTGCTGAACACAGAGAGAAGTGATTGTATTAGCACGGTAGGCACGGTAGGCATGCGGTACAGAATATTCACCACGATGAAAATGATTATATACGCAGTCGCTGGAGAATTTGTTCTAAAACTCTCAAATTTCATTTCAGGGACGAATATTTCGACCGCTGTTGTCATTAGTGACTTAATTTTTAATTATTTCATTAACTGATATATTTTTATTGTATTATTCTTAACTCATTACAATTTAAAAAAATATTTTTTTGACAGCGGAGCTATTACGCACGTATGATCGACCCAGCTTTCATTCCAGAAACAGTTGTAGTTGTTCAGGACTTTAAATTCCACATTAATCACTTATTTTTATCATAAACTACAACACTGCGGCTTCCTCAAAATATCATATAGGATGTCTGATGCGATTCATATTGAAACTGAAGGAGAAGATCCTGTATTACTTGACGAACAACCATATGAATTTTTGAGGCATAAATTATTGGAAATTGGTAAATGATTACGCGTGATACAACGGAACGTGCTTTTTAGGCTCGTTCATAATGAAGTCTCATCTAAAAAAATGTCTTCAATAACTAAAAATAATACACGTTATTTGTAAAATAGTATAAAACTTTCCGTTCAGTTTTATGAGTCATACTTATGCATGAATGGTGTCAGGCGCCTCGTATACAATTCATGTAAATAAATTGTAGCAAGGTGGCTGCACCGTGCCAAGATAAAATCCTTAAGGTGAAGAGAGGGCCGCGATATCACTCAGGGTGAACAAAACCGATGGGACTTTGATTTCCCGGTGCTTTCCCGTTTACAAACGCGCTCGCGCTCACGACCCCTTCATGAATTTATTCATAGCAAATATAAAACTATTCATGAACTAGATCCGACTGTGGTGTGTCGCCGGGGCCGAATCGTCGCGGAGAAATGGCGCGTGAGTTACACGGCTCGCCGTGCCTTTGCGGCGCGTTCGAGGCACAATTTATCGCCGCGACGACATTGAGCGTGCATAACGACGAAAAGTTTCGATACGTAGCGGGAAACGTTTCACCGCCGCAGATATAACAATTTTTCGACCGCGCGTTTCAGTAAATACAGCCTTGCACGAAAATATAAAGCCACGACAAGCCTGAATAGGGTAGTACTCGAAGATTGAAAAATATAGTATACTTTCAATCAACTTTATCGTTCATCATATTTGGGTATTTATTGTCACTTAGTAATACAAATTACTGCATTTAAACGTTTTGAACTTTATACAAAATTCGAATAGATACAGTCTACTACAATTAAAAATCCTCTGTATCAGCGTTTTTCAAACTTTTTTTACTTGTATGAGTTATACTTATTTACGTAACATATACAGGGTGTCCGGAGGAGCTGCGATGTACAGATAGACTGGATCAAATAGAACAAAACATTTCTTTACCATTTTGCGAACAACCATATGAAATTTGGAGTTATTAATAAAGAAGATTCATGAATAATCACGCGCCATATAGTAAATAGTTAATGTACAATTATGCACAATAATCTATTCAATCAATTATGCACTAATCTTCTTTAATTAATCATCAATTATGCACTAATCTTCTTTAATTAATAATTAAATATCTACATGGTTATTTGAAAAATGGTAAAACAAAAAAGAAAACGTCACCATTACAACTCATCTAATGAATAGTGCGTGAACATTCAAGAATCTTCTTTGGTTAATAACTCAAAATTTTACGTGGTAGTTCGCAATATGGTAGAGAGATTTCTTGTTCTGTTTGATCTAATCTATTTGTACACCGCGGCTCTTCCGTGAGTTATCGAACACTGGATTGCGGAATAAATAAAATGGATTGCATCAAACGTTTAGAATACATTTTACAAAAAAAAACTTTTTTGAAAGAAAGTGATTAACTTTTCCATTATATTTTTATATTCTCCTGAAATCAGTTTTTCAATTTCAAATTGCAAAGTGTAATATAATGTACTTGTAATTGTGTAAAAGATTGATCGTAAACAAATAGTGTTATTTTTTTCTGTACTATGAGATAAATTCTAAATTGTGAACGGAATTGCCTTGTACTGATACAACTGCTCCTTATATTGGGTCTATGCATAATTCCGTAGCGAAAATCGAATAAATTTCAAACGCAAAATATTTAGTAAAAAAAGCGATTTAATCAACTAATGTATATGAAGTAAATAGTAAAAGAAAGACATATAAAATAAATATTGCTTACAATAACATATAAAATTGCTTAACAATACAACATTAAGTAAGATATTGGGCATAATTCCGTGGCGAAATTCCGACAGATGTCGATCGCAGTTGTTTTTTCGCTCGCACATGTGTCAAACATATGAAGTGTCGTACATTAAGTGAAAACTGAAATTTGTGCCGACATTTTAAGAAAATATTTATCGAGATCCGTGACGTATACGAAGTTTAATTATATTTTGACATTGAAGGAAAAAACATGTATTTTCGGTGCATTTTGCTTTTTTATTTCCGAAAAAACAAAAACGCGTTGCAACAAAAAGATATGCGCTGTGTACGGAGAGAATGCCGTAAGCGAAAGTGTGTGTCGGAAGTGGTTTGCGAAATTTCGTTGCGAAAATTTTGATCTCCAAAATGCTCCTCGCTCTAGTCGACCAGTCACTACTGATGTCGATCAAATTAAGGCTTTAATCAACTCCGACCGGCATTTGACGACTACAGAGATTCGACATAACCTCAACATTAACCAATCAACTGTTTTGAGACATTTACGGAAGCTTGGGATGGTAAACAAGCTTGATGTTTGGGTCCCGCACTGAGCAAAAAGAATTTATTGAACCGAATTTCAGCTTGCGATTCGCTGCTCAAACGCCATCAAAACGAATCTTTTTTAAAGCGGATGATCACTAGCAATGAAAAGTGGATTGTCTACAACAATATCAGTCGAAAAAGATCATGGTCAAAACGCGGGGAGGCTGTTGAGACGATCGCAAAGGCTGGATTACATCCGAAGAAGGTCATGCTCAGTATCTAGTGGGATTGGAAAGGAATCATCTATTATGAGCTGCTACCACCCAACAAAACGATTGATTCGATCAAGTATTGCTCACAACTGGCCAAATTAAAGCGAGCAATCGATCAGAAGCGGCCCGAATTGGCGAACAGAAAGGGCGATGTGTTCCACCAGGACAACGCTAGACCACACGTTTCTTTGATGACCTGGCAAAAGTTATTGCAGCTTGGGTGGGATGTTTTGGTGCACCCACCGTATAGTCCGAACCTTGCACCTTCAGACTATCACTGTTCCGGGCGCTACAGAACAATTTGAATAACAAAACCTTCAATACCCTGGACGTCCTCAAAAACCACTTTGATGACTTTTTTGCCCAAAAATCTCAGAACTTCTATGAAAGAGGGATATTGAAGGTCGTGGAGAGATGGCAGAAAGTTATTAAACAGAATGGAACATATTTAGTTGATTAAAATCGCTTTTTTTACTAAATATTTTGCGTTTGAAATTTACTCGATTTT